GCTGGCAGAGAAGCTCGCGCACGGCACCGACAACGCAGGGGGGCCCGCTGCATCCCCGGACACAGCCGGCTAGCGCAGCGGCGTTGTCTCCGTAGTAGAGAAGACAATGCGGGCGGATTGTCTCGCCCCGCACCTCGATCCACCACGCTTCGGCCCCGTTGGTGGCGCGCTGATGGGGCGGCCCCAGCTGTTCAAGCACCGCGCGCGGCAGCACGACCGAGAAGCCCTCGCGGAGCTCCCGCGCCGCACCGGGGACGACGAGCATGGCTGCGGCGCGCCTGGACGACAATGCTGCATCACCATGCAAAATGGCCACGGGAGTTGCCGGCGACGCGAGCGGCTGCGCGCGCGGGCGGGCGCGACGCAGCAGGCGCGCCCACAAGCGGAGGGCCACCCGTGCCTGCGGAGGCCATTCGCCAGCGCGCTGAGCGGCCTCAAAGTGCCCGAGGGCGTCGCACAGCGGACGCCGGGCGCGCGCCCCGGCTTTCCCCTGTAGCCCCCGGGAGGCGAACACGAGCCCGCCGACGCAGGTGGGCGCCGGCCCTGCCTGCAGGCGAGAGCCAGCGAGTGCCTCGCATTCTAGAGCAAGCGGCTCGCGTCGGCAACTGCGGTTGCCGACTTCGGGGCCCTCCCGGCAGGGGCAGGAGGTGAATGCGCGCCCCACGAGGGGCAGCTGTAAGCCGCGCACGCTCTTCGCCTCATTAGCGTCGCACCCCCAAATCTTTAGTGTCTCGCGGAGGGCGAGACGAGCAGACGAAGCGGACCACGGTGGTTCCCACGACCAGAGATCACCAAAATGATTACCTGCATCACTGAAAAAACCACTGGCGTAGCACGTCGCGAAGACAGCGGAACACGGCATTGGAGTCAGTTACGGCGCCTCCAGTGCCGAAGTCCTGCGACAGAAGTTCCCGCCCAACTACTTCACGGCTCTGCGGGTCCCAAATAAGTTGGGCGACGCGCGCCGGAGAGCGGCAGCGGCCGACCCGGCGGCGCGCCCTTCGCAGATCATCTTCGCTGCCGTCAGGGGGCGCACCGAACGCGAGCCGCGGGGCGACCATCTGCGTAAGTATAACCTCGCTGTCTGAACATGCAATTGTTTCACTTCCCGCCCAGGCCCTGTTCAAGCAGCACCCGCCCGGGGAATCCGACGCATGCGCGCGCGCACTGACCTCCCAGGCGCAGGTCGGCGCAGCGGCGCCGCCCTCCGACCGCCTGCGCTGCCGCGCGGGAAACTCGCGGCAGAAGACTATACAATCTCCGCCGGCGGGCCCCGAACTGAAGAAATCGGCGGGATGTGGCGGCCCTGAAGAACCCGTCTGCTCGGCCTCTACGCCCTGTGCCCACGACGCATCGGCGCGCGGGTGGCTTCTCTGCATCGCTGCACGAGCTCCTGGTCGCGGGAGCCGCTCTCTTGGAGAAGCTGGCTGACCGACCAGGCGGGCGCGGTCGCCGTCGCACGCGGAAAATTGCCGGGCCCCGCGGCCACCCCCGCGCCCCGGAGGCCCTGGCGGAGGCGCTGCAACAAGGAAGCGGCAGGGTGGTCGAGGAGGCGGAGGAAGCGGAAGAGGAGAAGGGACGGCTTGCGCGCGAAGTGGGCAATGGCAGGGTCCACCGTTTTGCTTGTCTGAACGTGCTCATCGCGTAGCTCCCGCGTCCGGACTCTGAGCAAAGCCAACATTTTCAAGCGAATGTCATTGACGGCGCTACCGACGCGAATTTGTCCTGCAATGTCGATCGCCATGCCCTCGGCCACAGCGGGCGGCTGATTCGAAGGGCGAGCGCCGCGACCTGCCGCGTCGAGCGCTGCCGCGAGGCGTTCGCTGGGCAGCGGGCCCGAAGACTGGGCCGCGTCAAACACGCGGCGCGGCTGCACTGCCGCAAAAAGGTCGCCACGCCAGCCGTAGACGACAGAAAACGCCGCGCCCTCGCCAAGCAAGGCGCGCCCGGCGGCTGCAGGCAGCAACGCTAGCAGGTCCGCGCTGGAAGTTAAACCTTAAAGCTCAGCGCGCTCGGCGGAGCACGCGGAGGCGGGAGGGGGGGGGCCGGGGGGGGGGCAGAGGAGGCAGGAGGAGGCGGGGGGGCGGGCGAGGACGCGCCGACTGTCAACTGCACAGGGGAAGCGGAGCGCCGCCGCACAGAATCACACGCGGCCGAGCCCTGGCCACGCGGCGCCAGGCCGAGCGCGGCCTGGCGCGGGCTGGCCCCCCACCTGCGCTGCGGATGGGCGCGCTCGCCGGCCCCGCGCGCGGGGGCGCTCGCGGCGCTGCTCCGGCTTCTCGCGGCCCCCGGCAGCGTTGCCCCTCCGGAGGAGCTCCCTGCCGTTGGCCTCGAGGTGCGAGAGGAAGCACCTCGTGGAACGGGCGCCCGTGGCGCGGCAGAATGGGCAGCCGCGCCCGCACGTGCACCTTGTCGCGTTCGCGCAGTTCCCGAAAAGGAACCGCCGGCAGGGAAAGAGCGTCGTCTGCTGGCGCTCGCCCTGCCCGGCCGCGGCGGCAGCCTGCCCCTCGTCGGCAACCCCGCGCTGCTGCCCAGCCTCCGCCCCGACCTCGGCCTGGCAGCGCGACAGGAGAGACCAGTCCATCTCCCCGAGAACGCGGGCAACGTTCTCGCGCCCTTCTGCGTTGCCGCTGCCGCGCTTGCTGGCTGCGTAAGCCTCCCGGAGGAGGCGGGCGGCGTAGAACGCCGACGCCCTCTCGGCCTGCCCAAGCGGGGCGGCGTTGTCTGCCGCAACGGCGGCGGCCTGGCCAACCCAGCTCAGGGCGTCGCCCCAAGAGACGCGGCCTTCTAAGGCAGCGGCCCAGACGCGCGGCAACTCCTGGCACAGGGTCTGCGCCAGCGGGCGCTGTAAGCGGCCCGCGCCCTCCACTTTGGGCGCAGGTGTCTGGAGGAACCGCCCGGCCCTGCGCGCCGCCGCAGCGGCGCACATGGCGGACTCGTCGGGCTCGAGGCTGCGAAGTGCTTATCCTTGGCCGGCGGCCTGCACCATCTTCCGAAGCTGGTCGGCCAGGTCGCGCTGCGCCGTCAGCTCCTCGAGCGCCGTGGCGTCCTTCATCACAGCCGCCGCCGCGACTTGCCCCAGGAAGAGGTTTCCGCTGGCTGCGGCCTGGCTGGCTGGAGGGTGGAAGGGCGAAGCCCCTGTCCAGTCGCCCGGCGGGCCGTCGAACGGGGAAATCGCGGCGCCTGCCGGGGCGGCCTCGGAAGCGGGCCTGGCTGAGTGGCCCTTTGCCGGCATGGCCCCCAAGAGCTCGTGGATGACTGCCGTGGCCCGAGGGCCGAGGTCCCCCGGCAGGCTGCGAAGGAAGGCCCTGTTGCCCATGTTGCCGATGTCCTTCAGCAATTCCCCGGCATCGGGGTCGTTATACCCACACTTGACCAAAGCCTCTGTGAGACGGGTCCAACGCGCCTCCTCTGTGAGGGCACAAGCCGCCTCTCCACGGGCAGCGAGCTTCTCCTTGAGGGTGCCGACAGTCGTAACTCCTGCCAGCGCACCTGCTGCAGCTGGAGCACGGCAGCCAGGGCCGCCGACGCCTGCGCAACCGGGTCGCGGCCAGCTCCTGCAGCTGCGCCTCCGGCCCCGGGTGCTGCTGGGCCGAGTGGCGCTCTTGGAGCTGCGCCTTCTGCCATGGGTACTGAAAGGGGGAGGGTGGGGAAAAAGTAAGAAAGTAAGCCCTGGAAGTACAAGTGTAAGACAAGCGGTCCCCCCTTGTGACCCAAGCGGCTTGAAAAAAAACATTGCTATTTCTATATTGCCATAGCTTCCCAATAACGTTTCCATCAAATTTGCTGCTAGTTTTATATGTTCCATAAACTCATAGGTGTTCCTAACTATCAGACGCGTCCCACTGGCACCACCACTACCGCCCCTCCGATAGTTTGGAAAACATATGAATGTATGGAAAGTATAAAACCAGCAGCACGTTTTATGGATAACGTATGGAAATTATGGAAATAATAAATAGCAAGGTTGTATCACATGTGTTTCCAAGAGGTCTTTCACACGAGCGCACTTGGAAGACCAAACTTGGTTTTTAACGCTCTCTGAGGTGAGGCTTGAAAAACAGCGAAACCGCCCAGGCCTTCATAAGGCCTGGCGCCCCTCCTCCTCCTCTTCCTCCTCGGGGGCATCCAGAAGACCAACGAAAGCCAAAAATACCCAAAAACCGCCATCCCCGATCCTCAAAACCAACGCCCATATCTCTCTTTGAGCGCGTACTGACCAGGATTTCGAAGCCGATCAAGCCGTGGCAACGAGAAGGCCCAGAAGAGAAATTAAAGGGAGGAGGAGGGGAGGAAGAAGGGAGGAGAAAGGGAAGAGGTGGAGGAGGGTGGAATGCCTCCGCTTCCTCCCCATCTCCCCCTTCCTCACCCGATCTCCTCCTCCCTGCCCTTGTCCCCCTCCCCACGCCCCCCTCCTCCTCCTCCTCCTCCTCCTCCTCCTCCTCCTCCTCCTCCTCGTTCTCCTCCCCCTCCTCCTCCTCATCCTCCTCCTCCTCCTCCTCGTCCTCCTCCTCCTCCTCCTCCTTTTTGGACGCCCGAAATGGGTACGGAAAGAATGGGCTGAATGCCCAACAACAAATGTTGTCCCAAACCAACAGCGGCCGCTGTTGGGCAGGCGGCCTTCTGTCTTGAATGGACACAGGCCGCGGCGGCGCGGACAGCGAGTCCTGTTCGAAATGAACAGGAACTGCTGTTGAGCATTGTACCCATTCTTTCCGTGCCCATCTCGTTCGTGCAGATCCTCCTCCTCCTCCTCCCCCTCCTCCTCGAGGCACCACTTCCCCCCCCCTCCTCCATCCATCCTCCATCCATCCTCCTCCTCCTCCTCCTCCTCCTCCTCCTCCTCCTCCTCCTCCTCCTCCTCCTCTGGGCCCCCACCCCCCCTCGGAGGGCCGGCGGGCCTCACCGTCGACACGGTCGGATATCCGCCCTGGGGGCCCTGGCCTCGGAACTTGCCGCGCTCCTCCCGCGGCCTCCGGCGCGAGAGCGCAGGGCCTGGCCTGTGGCGGGGTCCGGCTTCATGTTCTGAATGCGCGTCTGGGCGGGGCGGGTGGCGGGACCGCTGGCCTTGGAGGCACCCTCCCTCGAGGGGGGGGGCCTCCCCCCTCTCTGGGGGGGGGGGCGAGGAGAGAAGAGGAGGAGGACGACGAGGAGGAGGAGGACCAGAGAAGCCCAAGGTGTATCAACGATAATGCAGTACAGTTCCCCATCCCACTTACACACAAAAGTCTGCGATTATGTTATCATCATGGTCGTTTTGGCGTCGACGTTGCAAAATGCGCGGCAGGCATGAGATGAGGCGCACGGAAAGGCGAAATGTCGCTCTCGCCTCGGCGCCGCCCTAATTTTCCTGAAAACTCAAACCCCGCTCGGGCGCGGCGCACATTTTTCGCACGCCGAGTACAAGCGGCAGAACAGAACGTGCGGGTTGGGCGGGCGGGCCGGGTCAAGCGGGCGAGTCGCTGAAGCATCAACATGAATCGAAAGGAACGAAGTTTCGAGCGATTAGCGTGAGCGTGATTCCTGAGAGCAGGGGGCGCGAGAGAACGCGATTCCTGGAGCGCGTTTCTTTACTTGTCGGCGATGACGGGCGTCATGGGGGGGGAGCGGGGGGGGTATGACGTAACGCCCCCCCCCCCGCCGTGTGACTCCGGCACCACAGCCGCGCCCGAGCGCACGACGACGATGAGCGACGAGCGACGAGCGATGACGACGACGACGAAGACGACGACGACAACGACGTGAGCAGAATGTAGGTGGCGATCTGCCCCACAGCCTTTGTGTACACCACAATGCTCGCGTGCACACCAGCGCGCGTGTAAACCACAGCGCCTGCGTACACCTCAACAGCCGTGTGCAACGCAGCGCCTGTGTACACCGCAGTGCTTGCGTGCACCGCAGCGCCGGTGTGCACCACAGCGAATGCGCACAGCGCAGCAACCATGTGCAATACGGCGCCTGTGTACACCGCAGTGCTTGCGTGCACTGCAGCGCCTGTGCCACACCACAGCGCCTGTCTACACCACAACATCCGCGTGCAACGCAGCGCTGGTGTACACCACACCGCCTGCGTACACAAGACAGGTAGAAGGAGCATGTAGAATAGGATCGGCTGCGGACAGCTAGACGCCACGCCAGGGACGTGCTGATACTAAAATGCGACGTTTTTCCCTCCTCCGTCCTACTCCACCAGCTCCTCCTCCTCCTCGTCCTCGTCCTTCTCCTCCTCGTCCTCCTCCTCCTGCTCCTCCTCCTCCTCCTCCTCGTCCTCATCCTCATCCTCCTCCTCATTCTCCTGTTTCTCCTCCTGTCCCTCCTCCTCTTCTTCCTCTTCCTCCTCCTCCTCGTCCTCCTCCTCCTCCTCCTCCTCCTCCCCTTCCTCCTCCTCGTCCTCCTCCTCCTCCTCCTCGTCCTCGTCCTCCTCCTCCTCCTCCTCCTAGCACATCACCCGCGCTCGGCCAAATAATTCCAATCATAAGTATTTATCATCATCATCCTCCTCCTCCTCTTCCTCCTGCTCTTCCTCCTCCTCTTCCTCCTCGATTTCCTCCTTCCCCTCCTCCTTTTCCTCCTCCTCGTTTTCCTCCCGTGCGGGACGGCGCTACAGCGCACGTGGGCATCTCAGCGTGCACCACATAATGGTTTATTGAATCAGTCCATTTGGTTCTCGGACGGCTAATTTAGCTGGAGCCTCCTCGACGCAAATGGGATAAACTAGGATGATGCGGGCGGACCGGGGAGGACCCGTAGATTCCAGCGGCGCTCTTTCCAGAAGGATTCGTTCCCAAATCATATTTAAAAATGTTCTCTGTGGCATCCACAGGCGCTTCATGTTGTCATACGGATTCCTCCTCAAATGTATATGCAACTGTGGCGCTCTGTTGCACAAGGTTGCTGTGGTGCACGCAGGCGCCGTGGTGCACGCAGGCGTTTTAATGCACGCGCGCATTGTGGTGTACGCTTGTGCTGTGTTGCACACGGCTGATGTGGTGTATTCAGGCGCTGTGGGGTACACAAGCGCTGTGGTGCCCAAAGGCACTGTGGCACACACTGGCGCTGTGTTGCGCGCGGCTGCTGTGGTGTACATAGGCGACATGGTGTACACAGGCGCTGTGGTGCACGTAGGCACTGTGGTGTACACAGGCGCTGTGGTGCAGATCGCCACCTACATGCTGCTGCTACCCGTCCTCGGTCATTCCTAAGCATTCCCAGACGCCGCCGGCGCGAAACGTGACGTCATCGGCCCCCTCCACCCCCACCCCCCCAAAATGATTGCCGTCATCAGCACGGAATAAAACAAACATGCTCCAGCCGCGTCCGCGCGCACGAAGACGATGAGCGACGTGCGACGAGCGACGAGCGACGAGCGACGACGACGACGACGACGACGAATGCGGACCAGACTCCGATTCGACCTCCTATGCGGACACCAGTGCGGATCCCGATGCGCACGGCGGCGGTGCCCGAAGCGCACTGTGGGGGGAGCGTTACGTCATAGGGGGGTGGGCGGGGCTATGACTCCCGTCTTGCCTCAAGCAAAAAACAGAAGCACGCTCCTGTATATATTGTGATCAATCCCCGCGCGAAAATGCGATTTTGAAAATATCAACCGGGAGCGGCTGTTGTTGCAAACCGGGCGCCATCAACGAAATTTGAGGATTAAGCTCTTCCTTTGTAAAAACAGGGTGCGAGCCCCAGAAGGGGCACATTAATTGAAAAACACAAGACGTGCACTGGAAGGGGGCAACAACAATTATCATGGATTCCTGACACTTCAACAAGAACAACAACAATAGCAACATCAAAAAATAGCAAACAACGACGACGACACCACCACCACCACAACCAGGAACAACAACAACAAGAACCACCACCACCACCGCAACAACAACAACAACAACAACAACAACGACAACAACAACAACAACAACAATAACAATAACAACAACAACAACAACAACAACAACAACAACAACAATCACTTTACCCGAACGCTCAGTGTTCTCACCAGTGCCAGGGTTTTCATGCGACGCCAGCCAATACCCCCACTTTGTGGGGGGGCAGTGCAAGCTCTACCAAATATCCACACGACTCTTCGCCACCACCCACACCCAGCTTCCCGCCCTATGACGTTCGGACACTTCACTTCGTGGCCTGCGGACGACCGTGGCTACTACACTGGCGTGGAGTACACACCCACAGAAGTTGTTAAGCCTACGTTCGTACACCCACAGAAGTTGTTAAGCCTTGTTAACCCACAGAAGTTGTTAAGCCTTCCACAGAACATCTGTTGCATATGATGCATATGGTACATGATACACATGATACACATGATACGTACTCACAAGATAGTTTTTTAGGATTCGGACAGCGCGCGCGGGTGGAAATTTTGAAAAGTCGTGCAGGTGTTTTTCGAGGACCTACGGTGCGATTCGTGTGATTTTATGATGCGCGGTGCTAAAATTCTTAAGAAGCCCAATGGTTTTTGGAGATTTCGGCGTGCGCGCGCGAAGAAAAAACGAATGTGTCCCGCATGGTATTATTTGACAGGGATGATGGCCCTGGCAGGTGCGCAACCGTTGTCGCAGAAGTTCGAAAAAGTTGCTCGCAAAAGCCCGTTTGACAGAAATGTTTAAAAAGTGTTGGGTTTCCTACGAATCCGCAAGAGCGCGCGGGATGAGATTTTGACATTTTTTTGTTGAAAAACCATTGGTTTTTTGATGTTTTTATGTTAAAATCGCTCCGAACACTAAGCTTTTGGAAGGATTTCGTCTTGCGCGCGCGAATGTCCACTTTACCTTATTTTTTGCAAGGGATTCTTGAAATTTGATTATATTAGAACAAGAAATGTCATTTTATAGTGTTTTTTGCAAGGGAAAACGGATTACAACAAAACAACCGGATCTGGACCCCATCCACTTTTCTGAAGCTTTCGCGAAAAAATGATGAAAATGCAGCTGCGGCCTAGGCGCGGCGGGGGGGCCGTGCACCAGGGGTCCCAACAATAATTATTCTTTAGAATTAATAATGTTCAACAACAACAATCGTTTTAAGACTGTTCGTTCTTATCTGCTCGAGTGTCCGTTAACGCGTACTTCCAAAACCCTCGATACCCGCCCTCTTCGTCTTCGATCGAACCCCTTTTGGGGGGTATACCTTTCTTCCCTGCAGGTCGGGCCCCGGCAAGCGGCGGGGCGGCCGCGGACCGTCGGCCTGGCCAACGGCAGCGCTGATCGGCAGGGCGGCCGCGGACCGTCGACCCGACCCCAAGAGGGACGGACAGGGGACCGACCACGACGACGACGGCGACGACGAGCGAAAGCGAGAGCGAGAGAGAACGACAGCAGGGCCGCAAAGGGCACGAAGTAGGCCACGAAGTGCGACGGCGGGGACACGAAGGGAATGCGTATGGGGCCACGAAGAGCGCGAACGAGCGGGGGCCACGAAGTGCAGATAACGCGGGGCCACAGAAGGCAATTATGGGGCCACTGAGGGTAGCAACTGGGCCACGTAGGACGGTGAGGGGGACACAAATGGCGACAGCGGGGCCACGAAGGGCATGCACATGGGGCCACAACGGGCGCGACTCATGGGTGCCTGGGTGTCGGGAGCGCGGCGCTTGGGCAAATTGGAGGAAATTCCAACGCAAGGCCATTCTTCAGTAAGTTGCAAGCAAGTCTCCAGCGAGAGCGCGATTCCAGAGCGCCGGGGAAACTATTCTTGAATAAATTGAAAGGAAGTCCCCAGCGAGAGCGCGATTCTTGAATAGAATGCGAGGAAGTCTCGGGCGGGAGCGGGGGTCCTGGCTAAATTGTAAGGAAATATCAAGCGGGAGCCGTTGCTGTTGTAAATCAGGGGGCCAAGGGCCCAGTTTGAGCAGGAAGACTTTCCCTGCAATTAGCCTGACGAAAGACCCAACCATACGTAGTTGTGAATACCGCAATTGTGGATATATTCTTCGGTGGCGCCCCCGGGCCACGAAACGAGTGAGGGGTGTGCCGAAACAGGGGGGTGGAACCGCACGCGAGCGCAGCCAC